GGTGTGAGTTGGTTGAATGACGCATGGGCATTCCTCTTTTTTCTTTTTTTGGGGCGCTACGCCTTCAGTCATTTAATCCTGCTGCTGCCGCTATGCTAGCAAGCCCGCCCTTGTGTTTTTTTTTGTTTTTTTCTTGTTTGTTTATTTTCATCTTTACTTTTTTTAATTATTATTTGTTTCTGCGGGCGTCCATGGGAAAGAATCTTTTTTTTTTTTTTTTTTTTTTTTGAGCAGCGTTTACAGGATGCGTTTTGCCGGGTTTCTCTTTCTCGATTGATTTTGGTGTTGGTGGTGTCACCCCTTTCTAAATTCTCCTTAGGCTATATATTTTATTCTTTTTCCGTCAGTCTTTTTTTTTTTTCTTTTTTTACATGCCAGTGACTATTCTTTTATTTTTATGGCTTGCATGACGCCCCATCACCAACAATGTCCCCAACAATAAAAAGGCACAACAAAAAGGGGCGACAAAGGTACGGATATGTTTTTATGTACACTGGTTGACTCACCATGCTGTCTTCCTTGATGCTTTTTTTTTTTTGCTCAGTTTTGTGTGCGGTGTTGGGAATCTGGCGGAGAATTTAGCCTTTGGTGCTATTGGGGACAGGGGCTTGGGGGCTCATGCGAACTGCTATGGCCCCGAGATCGTCTCCAGGCGGTTATGGACGGATGCCTGTGGGAAATTTGGCTGTAATTTTACAATTAGCTTTGGGAACAACTTCTACTGCAGTAACGCGGCTTTTTGCATTCGGCATTCCTTTGAATATGCGATAAAGGACGTGTCTGTTACATCGTTTCCATTTGCGGAGAATCATGACATGATGAAGGCACAGATTGAGTACTCAAAGCGATATCCCCACTGGTATTGGCCGAGCTGTTACTACACGGCGTAGCTTCCGATTGACGACACGGGTCACACCGTGCAGTTGTTTGCTGTGGATACGCCTGACTCCTCGTTGTGGAACGGTAACAAACTAAGTTGGCCGAGACAGGAACTGCAATGGAGCAGTTTTTGATGGAAAATTGGTTTTGGACATTATCCCACCCGTGAAGGTGCAAGACAAAAAAGTGTGGGCATGGTAGGAGAGATTCAGCAACTAATGAAAGAGTTTAATGTGCGGGCATATTCCAGCGGGCATGAGCACATTGTGGAGTTAAATAATGTGGAGGTTTTAACTGACAGATCTGCCGGATGAATGCGAAGCCGCCAGTCAAGTCCAGCATCTATTGCTTGAAACACGTATCGAAATAAGTTTACGTAACATTTTTAGGAGCTTGTGAAGAGAATGATCGCCGGAGAGCTAGCCAACTTAATGAATATACATCCTGGTAAAAGGAATACACCTCTTTGTGACGCTTTCCTATCTTATGAATTTTGGGAAGAACACAAATTTAGGGGGAGCAGCAGGGAGCCGATAGCGGCCGGATGATTTTTTATTTTGAACTTACCACCAACCCCCTTTTGGTTCTTTCCCTTTCAGCGGGGCCTTGTGGCTGCAGGACCCCAAAGTCTGCTAATTTGTAAGTAATAAATATTGCAGATCCTAACTGTTGATAAAAGGCCACTTGAACCGTCAGCAGATATACGTACATATATAAATATGGGAGAAACCATTGAGGCATTTAACTGCCTCTGCGTTACCCCATCTTGTTTGGTTTTTATAGATATTTTCAAGATACGGCCAACGGCCCAGAAAAATATTCTTTCTTCTTTGACGCGAGTGGTCCAAAGTGTCACGTTTGCTTTAGCCTCGACGCCGAGTGCTCGCGTTTTGGTCATTTACGTAACCTTTATTATTATTATTATTGTTTATTTCTTGGTTTATTGTTCCTGGACGTTTTTGTTTTTTTCTTCCACACCTTGACTTTGAGTTTGCCGGACAGGATGACAGATGATTGAGGCCAATTCCACAATAAAAAAAATTCAGTGCGTTGGTATTTTTCCCATCTTATTATTCTCTGTATTGTTTTTCCGTCCTTCTTTTTTATACCGGTATTATTATTGTCATTTTGTTCTTTTTTTGTCGGTGCCGGAGGGCGCTTCTTCTTTTTTTTTCTTTTGGAAGGAGAGGCGATTTCTATTGTTTGGGGCAGAGGGCGGTCGCGGGGAGGAGGGAAAAACCACCGCTTTTGCCCCGTCGATGTCGCGTGCGGTGAAACGCGAGCCGCAAAAAAAGTTGGCAAGCGGCACCAGTGGCCCACGTTCTTTGGAGACCACCAGAGCCACGCAAGTGGACCGTACGCGGTCACTGCCATCTCAGCCGAAGAAGGAGAAAGTGGCATTCAAAAAATCCCTAAGGGGGTCTAGCAATGTTTCTCGTGGCGCGAAACACACACATTCTTTTTACGGACCATTTCCACCGTTGCTTCGCATGCCCCCAGTGAGGGAAATGTATTTGGCTGTGCTTGCTGAGGCCACAAGGAAAATCGCGGGGGATTTTTCTCCTAGAAACGGCCGTAATATTTCAGGGGATGAAAATGTAGTTGCCGCAATGTTTTTGCGGCAACTACAGGCTGCCTGTGCGGCGTACACGGGAGGGGCGTCGAGCGATATTGGCGCTGCCAATCCATCTGGTGATGGTTCTCATAATGGCTCGGATGCAGCGTACACCCATGCGGGACTCATCTTTTACCGTCACCTTTACGATTTGCACCGATGGTTATTTCTTTGTGGCGCCCATGAAAATGGTCGTTTCATAGTTGTCAAGCACGCATGGCATGCGCTGTTTTCAAAGAAGCTGCGATCATGGCGGATATTTATGAGTATTTTGGGCTCTGATATGATAGTTACAGATGAGAATGCAGCGTCAGGTTTTTTGACAATGTTGTACAACCTCCTGCGGAATACGAGTCGCACTCGCCGCAAACGGGTTGTAAAAATGTGTTGCCAACTTCGATTTTCACAGCTGTGCATCTCTATTCTTGAGGGGTACGAGGACGCATTTGCAGAGGCGGTGAGAATGTGCGATTGTGGCAACGGTATAAGGACTAGTAGTGGTACGACGTTGCAACGCGAAAGGGGGTTGCAGGATCCGAACACACAATTTTTAGGGTGTAACGGCTTAAATTCCCCGCCGTTCCCCATAATGCGCGTTGTGGAGGCGGCGGCAATGTTATTAGGGCTCTGCGGTTCTGAAGACGCCAAAGTGCTTCGAGTCGTGCGCCGTAAGAATGCCTTATCATTGTTGCTTCGGATTACCGAATTGCTTTTTGCTACGGTGGCGCATCAGTTGTCCCACATAAAAGCAAATATCAGAACTGACGCTAGGGAGAATGGCGAGGTTAGCACGGAGACAGCGTGTTCTAGGAACGAAGCTCAGTTACACCATAACTCCATTTATGGGCATGTTTTAGGCACCTGCGATGCTCTTCTGCATTTGATTGTAGCGCTTCATCAACTTGCCGCTCTTCCAGTGATCGCGGATCTCATAGGGGCGCGTGGTGTAAGTCTTTGCGTTCAGGCTGGTTGGACGCTGCACAGTTTCCTTTCTAAAACGATGCATTTGTCGCGAGCACCCTATTCCTTGCTACAAAACCAAATTGAGACACTTGCGGTGTGGTTAATTGAACTTTTCTCTCGACTCTGCTGTGGTAAAAGAGCCAGTAAACAGTCACTGGAAGCGGCACGGGAGCGAGGGGCTGTTGGTATGCTAATTGAGTTCAGCACGCACCCGGCAGGCCGCGCAGAAATTGGGCTTTTTTCTCTCAATGCCCTTAATGTGCTAACAACCAGGGATAGTGGCTGTCGAGAGCAGCTGTACGGTGACTCAGGAGGTCTTTATACCTTTATTCGGCGTATCGTCGTTGCAGCCGAGTTGGCAGGTCGTTCGCCGGCACACTGGCACAAGTTGTATTTATCATTGTATGCGTTGATTGGCGTTGTCACAATTCCAGGTGAGTGGGCCGCAACTCGGCCCAATGAGAATGCATTTCCTGCCGTCCGTGTTGTGCCCACACAATCATTTTTCTCTGCATCCATGCCGAATTTGCCGCCCAACTTGTCTTCGTTCCGAGAGGGAGGAACGACCATGCCACTTTCAATGCTTCCGGTTGACTTTCAGCCGGATGCCTTCTCACCGGAGTTACATAAAGAGGGGGATTGGGGGTTCAACGAGGATATGTTTGTCTTTTCGGCACCCGAAGAATTGCCTTGGGCATTCTCCGAGGATGGATTACCACCATCTTTCGAGACTGTTGGCCCCGTATTTCCAGGTATTGACGTGGAACCGATGGAATCGAGACGCTACTCTCTCTTGCATACTCCGGAGGCCCTTCAACCACCCTCATCCGAGACGCGTGTTCGGGTGCTAAAACACCTTATCGAACGTTTATGCACATCTTTGCAGCGTATGGATTGTATCATCTATGAAAGACCTCCACTGGTTTTAAAACCGTCGTCTCAGGCGGTTACAGATGAGATGATGATGGCGATACCGTCGACGACGAAAGGGATGTATTCATCAACTGGAGGAAGAGGGGGAGTAGAAGGCAGTCCTACCACCGTTGAGGTTCCATCTTTGCCAGGATTATTGAAGTTTCGGTCGGATTTTGAATGTGGTAACTTGCAGCGTGCCGTTGCAATTGATAGCAAGGAATATGATCTTGTGCTAAGCCCTGATACGAACACGAACTGCCATGTACAGTGGTTCTGTTTTTCTGTGGAAGATTACACGCCCGGCATGACATACCGCTTTAATATCCTCAATATGGAGAAACCCAGCTCGACCTTCAATGAGGGTCAACAGCCCCTCATGTTGTTGGTTGAGAATGAATCGTCGGGAACGAAGGCGTCGGGCCTTCCGCGGTGGACGCGCTGCGGACAGGACATCTTTTATTATAGAAACCTGTACCAACGCCCAGAACGTTGCACCACGACCGCCAGTGAAATGGTGGAAACAAATGGGATAGGAACGACTAAAAATCATGACTGCAGCGAGCGCACATCAAACAGCGGGCAACGGGGGTTAAAAAAGAGCAAAAAAGTTTACAAATCAAAGCCTTCTGGGAGTGAAAAAAGCAAGGGAGTTGCCTTTTGTTACACATTGAGCT